AAGCTTTGACGAGAGAACCACCAGAAATCTCATGGGAAAACACATTGGGTGCACCCAATGGTGTACCTTTCGATGACGACACGAAGAATCTCCTTAAGAATTGCCTCGATGTTTCGATTCCACCTCAGACTACCATAACGGATATCATCAAGCGTAGCTCAAGCTTTCCTATCAATTTCCCAATAAACACCGTTAGATGTTCAACATTGAGAGACAGAGGTGTCAGTTCTGATATATTGGAGGTTAGTATTAATAGAAGTGAAAAAAGAAATTATCCAATTAAAATATACTTTTAAAATTCACAATGTTTTTATCTTTCTTTCTTTTAATAATATACGCGTGTATTATCAATTATCTAAGACAATACTTGAATCTAAAACTTTCCTCTATATTTTAACTTTTATATATTTCACTGTTTTCCATGCGTTTATTTATTTATTTTCTCTTTCTTTTTTTTCTTTTTTTTTTTTATAATTTAATTTCCTTAGACTCGACTGAAATAATGTTCGGTAAATAGTTCAAATAAATGTAGAACGAATTAAAAAGAAGCTCTCTTCGTTAATTCGATCGATTGTACGACCCTTTACCTTCCAATTAAAAAGTTCCCTTCTTCTTTGAATCGTTTTTTACTTACATGAACAAAAAAAAAAAAAACTTATTTCAGTTAAACGCTAATTCGGCGTATCCATTGATCCATGAGGCCATGCTACCACTCATAGCACGATGGTTAAAGCACAAACGTCAATATGGTAGTGCAATCGAGAGAGCCCTTTACAAAGAAATGGGTCTTATAGAATTTATTCAACGACTTCTCGAAAAAAGAGCCATCAATTTCTTTGGCTCGGACGATCGATACAAGCTGATCGATGGAAAGACCGGTGTTGATGGTTGGGAGAGCGTAGGAACGGATTATGAGAAAGAGCCGCTGGTGAGTGCACACAAATATAAAAATATAAAAGTATAAAAATAAAAGAAAGAAAAGAAAAATAAATAAGATAAAAGAGAAAATTTTACTCGACCTCGATAAAACTTTCCTTTTTTCCTTTTTTCTGCCTCCCTTTTAAACATTTATAAAAATTCATACAAACAAAATATGTGTAGATAAATGAAATGGAAAAATAAAAAAAAACAAACGAACAAACAATCAAACAAAGAATTAATTAGAAATAAAATTAATGGCAATCGATCGTTGTTCTCTAGGTTCTGACGAAGTGCTTGTCGTACGACGAAATCAAATTGTCGTCAATGATCGTAGTTTCATCTCACACGGAATTCATCAACGACGGTTCTCGAGAAAATAGGGGCGTAGTAACAAGTGATCCAGACTCCGTCCAGCCCAGAGGCGTTATTATGGGTGTCGTGGGAGCAAGGTTCGCGTTTATATACCTAACTCGTACAATTAATCACGAAAGTGCGCATGTAAAAAATTAGTCTCTAGAGGTGTCGCTTTTTATTACGGCTATACTTTTCTTTTCCTTTTTTCTTTCTTTCTTTTTTCTATTTTCACCGTCCCGCTCTCCCTGTAGGGAAAAAAAAAAGTTGTACAACTTTTTAGAACAACTAGACCAGAACAAACAGTGCCGAAAGCGATACCCTTCCTGCACTTGTTTTCCTTTTTTTTTCTTCTTTTTTATCCTTTCTTTCATATACATATATAAACAGTTTAAATAAACAGTCGAAAAAAAAGAACAGTTTAAAAAAACAGTTTATTAATAGCCTTTTTTATATGCAGATTCGAAAAACCACGAGTTATGGAATATCAGGATATACTTATAACTCCTTTACAAAATAATATGGATAATGGGTAAGAGATTAAGAGAATTATATCGATACATTTTTAAATGTTATTTTCTTCGTTATCTTTACTTTGATTTTGACAATGGTTAATTAAAAATTATCTATGCCTCGAATATAATGACTTGGAATAATAGAAATGATTTTTAATCGTGATATATATTGACTGCATTTAAAAAAAAAGAAAAATAACTTTTTCAATAACAATACTTATTATCAGCAACGATACTTATGATCTTATATATAGCAAAGTGTTTTACTTTTTTTTTTTAATTTTTACTCTTTTACTTTTCCTTAATATAGATACGGTCCAAACGTCGAAGGTATGACACAAGAAAAACGTGGTCTTAGAATAATATGGGCGAATTTTTATGGAGAAATCTATCATCCGCTTTACGAGGAAACGGTAAAGCGTATTAAATCTAAAGACAATAAAAGATATCTATCGCTTACGAGTCAGACGGTTTTCGACATTGAAAATTATATGAAAAGAACTCTTTTATCTGTTGAAATAATACTTCTCGAAGCGAATACTAGAGCCGAAAAACAAAATACCACTGCTTTCCTTCACGTTGTTGGATTCGGTCTTGGTACGTAAACGAGCATAACTTTTTATTTATGCCTTTTAATCATTTTACTTTGAACCGAATGGAAAAGTTTTGTAAAAAGAGCAAAAAGAAAAAAAAATCTCAATCTTTCGAGTCGAAATTTTGAATTTATATGAATAAATAGTTTTCTTGACTTCACAAAGCTTAATATTCACAAAGCTTTCTCGTAAAGCTTTTCAAATTGTTTTTGGAGAGAATTATTTGTAGAAAAAAAAACGAAAGATTACTTTATTATTATCATATATTATTTTTAATTTTGATTAAAGAAATTTTATTACGTAAAATATCGAAGGTCAAGAATTTTATTATTTATAATGAAATCATTATTGCACCGATCAAATCTTATTAATAAAAATGATTAAAACACTTATTAAAGATTTGTATATAATACATTACATGAGATGTGAACGCTATGAAATAATTAATATCGATAAAATTAATAATCGTCTTCAACGGCGAGTATAATCGAGGTTGAGTGCACGTACGAAATTAATTGATATGTATTAGTATACCAATCCATTCCGTAAATGACTGTAATGTCTGACTGTCCTAACGAGTAAGCTTATACGATTCAAATTAAAGATGAAACGTTTAACTTGAGAATTATATTAAAATGATTAGAATATATATATATATATATTATATATATATATATATAAATATATATATATATATATAAATATATATATATATATAAATATATATATATATATAAATATATATATATATATACTTTATATATATATAAATATATATATATATATATAAATATATATATATATATACTTTATATATATATAAATATATATATATACTTTATATATATATACTTTATATATATATATATATAAATATATATATATATACTTTATATATATATAAATATATATATATACTTTATATATATATAAATATATATATATATACTTTATATATATATATACTTTATATATATATATACTTTATATATATATATATATATATATATATACTTTATATATATATACTTTATATATATATACTTTATATATATATACTTTATATATATATACTTTATATATATATACTTTATATATATATACTTTATATATATATACTTTATATATATATATACTTTATATATATATACTTTATATATATATATACTTTATATATATATATTTTATACATATATACTTTATATATATACTTTATATATATATATACTTTATATATATATATACTTTATATATATATACTTTATATATATACTTTATATATATATATACTTTATATATATACTTTATATATATGTACTTTATATATATATACTTTATATGTATATATACTTTATACATATATACTTTATATATATACTTTATATATATACTTTATATATATACTTTATATGTATATATATGTATATATATATATAAAGTATATAAGTATATAATATATTTCTAAAAATTACAGGAACATGGAAGATAATACAGGATCAAGAAATATATTTCTTAAAGACCTTTGAGATAGCAATTAGAAAGATGAATAAGAAATTGAAATACGTATCAGACGTGATGTTCGCTTACTTTAGACAACAGAAATGTGGGAATACAGGAAACGGCGATTATCTTGGAGGTTCGCTAATCGATTTTGTTATCACGCGTCCGATCTGAATCGAGAGCTTGTAATTAACGTAATTAATGATCCTTCAGATATCAAGATCCATTTTGCTCTGAGAGAACCCCATAGTAAATTATTGAGATCGACAGATGCAAGCAAGTTACTGATCGTAACTTATGCTTGGGACGGAAACGCTCAACCAGGTTGTTGTTCTTTTTTAATTTATTTTTATTTTTCTTTGTCGTTTTCCTTCTTCTTTTTTATCTTTTTCTTTTTAAATTTACCGTCTCTCTTAATCGATTGAAACGTTGATATGAAACAAACGTCATCGACAGATTCGTAGTAACGAATTCTTATCCCTAATTGCAGTCGACTTACAGGAAACGAATTTTGGAGCGGTTATCTCGCATCGAGTGGAGATCCAGCAGCAGCATGCAGCAGTCAAATAGCAGAATTGCACAATTCTTGGATAAATCCAAGAACTTGCGGTGCTAGTTTACACGTCGCATCTGCCGAGCATGGAATTTTGCACATATCCGACTACGCGAGACTTCATCTTACTTAGGTAAAAAGTAACATAAGCTGGAAGTTAAAGTCTTTATGATAGATCACTTGGAAAGTTAATACATAGATCTAAAAGGTTATGTGTACAAAATGAAATTATAGCCATATATATATATATATATATATATATATATATACGAAGTGAACCATGTTATATGAAACTTGTATGCATTTATATATACATATACATGCAAGTCTCATATAACATGGTTCACTTTGTAACGTGTTACATCGAATTCGTATTTTCAGATACCATGCTATAGGACAGTTATATGTCTACCTTATACATCGTTAGTCATGAAATATTTGATAAATGTTTCTTTTGAAATCTATAAATGAAAATTAATAACACATGTACTTATTTTTACCAATTTTTCAAGTAAAAATTTTTATTAATTAATAATAAATATTTTGTAAAATACATGATCAATATACATGAATATTCCGATCAGTGTAAATTAATACGTTGAACATTAATAATTTTAATATAATAAATTTTAATATAATAAATATGAAAATTGTGATTTTAGGAAAGGGCCGGCCCAACGGGCAGCGGTCAACGAAGACCATCTCGATCACCGCGCAGTCAGAGAAGTCGAAGTGCCGATGTTGATTGCTTAAAAAAATATACCGAAAGAAGAATTGAAGGAAGAAGACATACGGACGTTGCCGATACCAGTAAGCTAGATACGTCAAGATGGATACCATTGGCAAAGAATGTCTCTCGGGGTCAAACGAGTATGAAAAAAACGGCACAAGTTTCGAAAGACGAAGATAAACGACGATATGAGAGTAACTCTAATACGGTGAGGAGCGGTTCGATAAAGTGGCAACAAACTTCTTCGATGGAAGTGGACGAACGTAAAAGGAATTTGCCAAATGAAAAAAAAGTAGAAGAAGTGCAAGAAGAAGAAGAAAAAGCTAAGCTTTATGGCAGACAAGTAGCTGCTCGTAGTCGAAGTACTGACGTTACTACATTCAAAAAAGAAAAATATACCGAAGAACGAAGACATACCGACTGCGGTGATATCAGAATTTCATCCAGGTTGTCATCATTAATTCATTTCATTTCAATCATTAATATTTTTAATATATGTGTTATATGTATTTTTTTCTTTGTATATTTTATATGTATATTAATATTCTATATTTGATTAAAGTTATCGACAAATATCGATAACTATAATAATATATATACATATATTTTTATAAATATAATATTTTTTGTTTTAAATAACTTTAATCAAATAAAACAAAATTGTTTTTATAAATAATACAATGGTAGTATCGATATTCGATATGGAAGAGTCTTACCGATTCTAGCGATCGCCCTTTGAAATATTTTCTTCAATAATTTCACGTATCGATAATTAAAATATGACTTATTAATTTCATCGATCAAGATCCTATTTTTAAAACGAAGATTTGTAGGATCGATTATATAGTAGATTCCTACATTACCTTTTTAGTCAATGATCGATCGCTGAGCTCTTCAGAGGCACCTAGCGTTGAAACGTCTGAATTAACTTTAGCGCAAACCCCTTATGGTAGGCAAAATTTACATCGAAGTACACGTTGATACATCAGAGTTTCTTAAATTTCTACAATTTACGATACACACGTTATTTAAACAAATATTTCCGATAAAAATTGTTTCCGTTGATTGAATCTAGCAGGATATATATATATATAAATTTGTAAATATTTGTCAATGAAAAATGCTATCGTAAAATCATGTAAAATCGTCTGAGGAATATTTATCGAGAAATTATAATTTTGCAGATGGATACCACAAATAAATAGTGCCAGATTTCGCAGTGACACGTCAACATTCGCAAAATTCACAAATTCTTACGAAATTACAAAAAATGCTGCAACCAGATGGATAACGTTCGCGAAAAATCCATCGCCGTTTCCAACGCCTCGAATGAATCCAGATAAGAAAACACAAATGGAAGAGAGTTCACAAAAAAACGAAGAATCTTGTACAAAGGAAAACAAAACTGAAGCAACAAAATGGACACCTTTGAGAAAGTTTGCGTCGCCTATACCGTCCAAACGAAATACTGAAAATGATACGACACCGGGTATAGAAATTATTGCAAAAAAATATTATATTGTTAATACTTTTTATAAAACTATTTAATTTGATCTTTTAGATTTATCGGAGATTACTCCGCAAAATCGCTTGAAAAATAACGACGCATCTGATGCACTTGACAAAGCTAACAAATTGAGCCAACGAATGCGAGATCTTTATGATTTCAAAACGGAAAACGAATGGCCAAAGAGATTAAAGAACCGACCATATGAAGAAACATGGATAAGTAAAAGTAGTAGCGAGGAGGAGAGGCATCCTCCCAGTGGTCGTAGAAATAGTCAAGATATGGAATTTAACGATAGATCGTTACGAATCAGGGTGATTGCTTTGAATTGTTTATCTAATTCCTTCGTATTAATTTTTGAATTGATCAGCAACCAATAGTATCGTAATTGTCGGTATTTTATATCTAAGTAAGCAATGAACAATAGTATAGTATTTACATTTTATCGAAAAAAAAAGTTATTATTGTTGTCGATCAATTATTTAAAAAAAAAATTGTTAAAGAATCTGATTAGAATTCTAATGAAAATAAAAAAGAAAATACACATTTCCTAGGATACAAAATCGCAAATTCATCGAACGGAGGAATCGAAGGTCTTCCACAGTGACACGGATGAAAGATCAAAGAAATTCATTGAAAGGCATAGCAATTCGGAGGATCTTGGATTACGCGGTACCGCGGAAAAGTTGCGAGCTCAAAATCGACGCACGCAATCGGATGATTACGACGAGAAATGTAGGAAAAGGAACAGCTATCGATCGGATAGCAGAGAGGAAGGAGCCCGATCGAAAGGAGAACAACGCGTACACATTGAAAACAAAAGAAACTCCGACGCAAGTGAAAGATCCCAGGAATCACGCGGTAGTTATTCCGAAATTGAGTTTCCTAGTAAAAGAAATTCACGAACGAGCAACGTTAGTTATGCCAGTATTGTTAACCCAACCGGCAAAAGAGGTAGTTTAGAATGTAGATCGACTCAGCGTATTCTCGAAATGCCACCACGAAGGGCATTCAGTCAAGGTGAAGGAAGACCTGCCACTCCGGTACCACCAATCGAAATGAATGCAGATCGTGTCGTTGCTGTTAGATTGATCTCGGAATGTCAAAAGAGAGACAGCACCAGATACAAGGTCTATCTGACGTAAATAAATACGTAACGTAATACGTTTCTAAAGATTTTCTAAATAAATTTCGAGATCAAAAAAAAAAAAGAAGAAATGATAGAATATATCTTTCTCGACTCTTTGCAGATCGATCAATCGTCCGATTAATCTTTAACCATACCAATTTATTATACAATTAGAATTCAATATGTTTCTCGAAATAATTACCTGAAGCACTTAATCCTCGACTCATCGTGTATGTGTTTAACATTTCATACAGAATTATTATTATTGTTATTATTATTATTGTCATCGTCGTTATCGTATACATCGTTAAATATTATTGACCAATGAAACGTTCGATGTAAAACTGGAAAGAGTCGAGTATTTGTTGTCCTGTTAGATACATTGAAAAATCGATATTTTCTGAAAGAAAAAGAAAAAGTGAAGAAGAGACTAATAAAATCTTCAGATTAGAAATTAAATAAAATTTGAAGTAAGGTAATAGAGTTATTAATGTGCCTCACATATTGAAACGATTCCAAACCATAAAAGTCAAGAAAAAATATATAAATTCGTGCCTGCAATAAGAAACAATCAGGGTAACAGTGATATATAAACGAAATAATAATAATTATTATTATATACCTACGTATTATGTATAGTATTATATACGTGTTTAAAGCGCCGTTATCTCGTTTCATCATCTTATTTTCCACGTGAAATACTTGTTGAATTTTTAAAGAATGAAACATCTTCAAGTATACATATATATATATAAAATAATATTTAATACATATAAATATTAATATTATAATTCATATACATATATGTATATGTATATGTATATGTATATATATATATATATATATATATATGTATAAATTATGGTAACTGATTAAAATAAACAATGAAATCTTTCGTTCTCGCACAGTGTTAACTAATAAAGAAATATATATATGATAAATATGTCAATAAATATGTCCGCAATTCATTTTTTCTTGTGTTCAAAATGAATGAATAGTATATCTCATTTGATACTAAGCCACAGTTATAAATAAATAAATAATGTAATATCATAATCACATTATACTCGAAACGTAGAAAAAGGCAAAAAGAAACGAAGAACTATTCCACACTCGCGTTATATGTAAAAAATATACAAACAAAATGAAGTGTTTTAAACGATTAAGAAAAAAGAAATGATGTGACGAACTCTCTCTCTCTCTCTGTCTCTCTCTCTCTCTCTTTCTCTCTCTTTCTTTCTCTCTCTCTCTCTTTCTTTCTCTCTCTCACGCGCGCACGTGCGTGATCGATCGATCGTTTATATATTGTAACAATTAAAAAGTCACTGCACCGGTTTAAAATAAGCCACAAGCACAGGATGTACAAAAGTGTCATGATAAACGAACATAAATAAATAAATAAATAAATAAATAAATAAACAAATAAATAAATAAAGTTTTTGTGAAACGATGATTCATGAATGTTTCTTTTCTCTCTACATTTTCGATTGAAATCACATAATATTGTCTTTTTTATTTACATTCAAGAAAACACTTAAGCTTTCTGTCTCGTAAAAACAATGAACTTTTATTGAACGAATTACTTTTAAAAAAATATAATTATATAAAAAAAATGAAAAAAAAAAAAAATAATAATAATAGTAATAATAAAGCAGTCACACAGTAATAGGAATATCTCAAATACGTAAGACAGAAAGTCGACAAAAACTTTTTCCAATCCAATCCTCATATCTTGCTTGATTCCCTTCTTTTCAATGTTCACTTTCTTTCGACATGTCTAAAATCCTGCCGAAAATTTCCTGTTGTATCTTTGGCAAAAGTAACCTTAACTCTCTTCCGCACTTGAATGGGATGTTCGGTGATTGACGACGATCTACACTCTCTACCAATGCCAGATTGTTCGTCGTCTTGTCTCTCGACTTTAAATAATCTCTTTTGTCCAACACTCGAACTATTTCCATTAGTTACTAAGGAGCCATTCGTAGAGGATACGTTGTAATTGATTTGTTGAGATTTTGAAAAGTTATTAACTCTGTTGGAAACGGTCGATGAAGACGACGACAAAGACGACGATGACGACGACGACGATGACGACGATGATGACGATGACGACGATGACGACGACGATGACGACGACGAGGAGGATGACGAGGATGATGATGATGATGATGATGATGATGATGATGATGATGACGACGAACAAGATAACGAAGAACGAATCAGATTAGAGCCTAAAGAATGATTAACCGAATGATGGTGACCTTGAGAAATAACATTCGAGGAATCCACGTGTTTATCAACCGAAGAGGCCGACAATTCGTTTAACGATACAGCTGGTACGATCATTAGCAAGTTGTTCCCATTCTTATCACAGGCGCCATGATGACCGACAGGATGTTGTCTTTGTTGTTGGCCGAGATAATGGACTCTGTACGATTGGAGGGCGTTCTCGTTGATCTGTTGTTTCTCTTGTTTCGTTAAATTAATCGGGCACTTTGTCTGATAAGAATTGGACTTTTGAATACCGTTGTTATTATTATTGTTGTTGTTGTTATTGTTATTATTATTATTATTGTTGTTATTGTTGTTGTTGTTGTTGTTAAAGTGTCCCTCACATTTTACTCTGACACCATCTTGCGTATGGACCAGTCCGTTTCGATCTTGAGCATTCTGCCACTCAAGAACGTTACTTAGCAATCTTATGTATCTGTAAATTATATTTTACATAATTTGACGAAAAAAAAATATCTATAGAAATATAAAAAGATTTTTCCTCTTTTTATTTATTTTTTTTCCGTTTTCTTTTTTGTTTCTATTTTGTCTTTACTTTCAAACTTCCCTTATTAATTTGTAGAAAACCAATACGAAAATGTTCAATAAATATTCTATCTATAAAGATATATAGATATACTGACCGTATAGCCATTCTTAAAATCTCATTCTTCGACAACTTTTTATCCGGAGGATGGGTAGGAACAAGCTTTCGAAGTTCAGCGAAAGCTCCGCTGACATTCTGTTGTCTCCATCGTTCACGACTGTTCGTAAATAATTTCCTAACACCAACATTGCCTATCCGAAGTGTGGGCGAGCCTAATTGACCGTTACCGGAAGATGAAATGCCGTCTAGCTATGAAATTATTTCCGATTATGAAACAATGCGAATAAGAAAAAAAAGAAAAAAAAAAGATTTCAAAAATTAAAAGAGTAAAATAAGAAAGAGTAAATTTGTTATTAGAAAAAGAATAAAAAAATAAAAAAACAAAGATGTTATCTTTGTTTAAAGATGTTATCTCTGTTAAAGATATATTTTTATTTTTTTCTCTCACGGAATTCGCACGATCTCTCCTACGCCTTCCCTGTTCTTCTTCTTCGTCGGTGTCGTGGGAATAAAATTCATCGGAAAGGGTTGCCTCTTCCTCGGTATCTCTCGGAGTACCCGGCGAATCCCCTGGCTCCTCGGCAAGTTCTCCTTCGGCTGATAAAAATGATTCAGCAGGAGAACCATTGTCCGTTTCCGTTGTTACACCGTTACATCCATTGTACGTCAACATCGGCTGAAAATTAACGCCACGTTTATTATTCGTCTCATTGTTCGCCGTTAATCTTAATTACAGATCGTCCTGTAATAAATAACGATTTGTGCCTTTCTTTTCCTATTTCGATCTTTTTGAGAGTTTGAAGATTTATAATTGAATGTAACTTTTAAGTTGCCCGCTTAAATGCACTTAGTATTTTTTTAATTAACAATTACTTTTTTGATAGGAAATTAGATATATGATCCTATCAAAGATCGTATTAAAAATTAATGAATGCTAAGTATAAATTAAACTATAAATTTAACTATAATACGATTACATTGGTTTAAGCTATACTATAACTTTTTTCTAATCTAAGTTATAATATCATTTTTTTATCAATAATAAAAAAATTAATTCTATTGGAAAGTATTAATTTCGCATGTATGTAATTGTCCACTGAATAAATATTAAATCAGTATTAATTATTTCTTATATGTTAGACTGAAATATCACTCTTGAAAGACAATCACCCACACAAATGTTTCTAACGATAAGATTAGGAAATTGAGAAGAATTTGTTACACGCCTCGACGGAATACTACTAAATATATATCGTATATAATCCACACCTATACCTACACACACACACACACATATACGCGCGTTTTCTCGTTTTATTTTCATTACACAAATTCATAAGCGTTCACAGATATACATCTTAGTAATTTAATATAATTCTTTTTATAATTTCTCATCACTTACAACTCCGTCGTTGTTCAAGAATCAACTAATATATAATCTACGCATTTCGATCTTGAAAGGAAAGAGAGAAAACAAATTATATACAAATGAATATCTTACCATGTTGAACCGATTGACCTTTTGAGGACAATATCGAAATAAACGAAAATATTGAAGCGTACTTTAATAACACTCTTCTCCGATCGTATGATTCATCTATTATTAAAATTTTTCTTTTGTTTTCTTTTATATTCACCGTTGAAAATCTTACAAATATCAATCGCTACGTGTAAGTTATACGACCGATAAAGTCAAACGAAACGATTTGACTAATAGAAAGTCTGTAACTCTAGTAGCACAGAGCAGACTTTGGTAAAATGAAAATTTTGTACGAAGGCGGAGCTCTCTCTCTCTCCTACCCTCCCTCTCTCTTTTCTCTCACTCCCTCTCTCGCTCTCTTTCTCTTTCTCTCTTTCTCTATCTCTGGTAACTTGATCTCCATGGGTGGAGCTCGTCTTTGGACCATCCCATATCGCTTGCACACGCGTCCATCCAGCCTCCCTCTATCGGTCCACCAGCGGATCGTTTTAAACGCCAGAGAGAGAGAGAGAGCGAGAGCGAGAGAGAGAGAGAGAGAGAGAGCGAGAGAGAGAGAGAAAGAAAAAGAAAAAAAGAGGGAGATGGACAGAGAGAAATCCGCGAAAGGGAGCATGTGACGTGATAAGAGAAATCACTCGGCTTTTCTCGCTCGTCCAATCAAATCGACCCAGGGACATTCGTTATTAAATCTTTTTATACGCGTTGCGCTTCGTTCACTCCCTTTTTACAAAGAAAGTTAATAATAAAAATATAATCGTTCTATCGCATTAACGACGCTTATTAAACGTACGTTTTAATCTTCGTGAAAAATAAAAAAAAATATTTTCTGTATCATGTGCGGTTTTTAAATGATATTTTTGCTCTTTTTTTTTTGTAATTATTATTTCGAAGTGGTGAAGATAAATAAACGAAGATAATAACGAACTCATCAAAGGATTAAAAGTTTTCCTTTAAAAAAATAAAATTCTGATTTAAATATACTTATCTCCAGCTCTCATTATCATGCGTGCGAAAGAGGAAGAAAGATAGAGAATTAACTATTCTCCTCCTCTTCCTATTGTTTTTTTGAAAAAACACGTGTATTCAAGATGTCTCACTTGTGTGTTCGAAGAAAATGTGAAAATAGAAGACAGTTGACGTTTTATCTAATCGTTGTCGGTACGTTACTGATTCTACTTTCTTTAATAATTTTGTTCAAAAATTTGGAGAGAAAGAAATCCTTCTTATATATTTTCACAATCGTAAATTTTTTTTAATTTCTAGAAAAATCTATAAGATTTTATTTAACATTTAATATGATCGCGAATAGAAAAATTCATACATATATATATATATATATATATATATATATATATATATATATACATACGCATATTATATATTTTAATTTGTTCAAAATTAAAACAAATTGTACTAATCCGAAAATCGAATAAAAGAATTCTCATTATATCTATCATTATTAAAAATTTGTTTAAAAATTGACAAAATTCTTAACTCACAAAAATCGCGTATAAGAGAAAGTAAAAAAAATCAATGAGAAAGGTTCCGCTTTAACACGAATTTGCTCCCACGCAGATTGGCCTAACCATATGTAGTAATAGCGCTCGAATGAGCATCATCGAGAAGATGCTATCATATAATCGGGTTCAACACGACGATAGTTTGAATTTGTCCTAGCGTAAAAACTATAAGCACCCTACTAACTTCGGTCGTGGTATCGCAATAAAACTTTTTGGTGATAGCCACTTGCTGAGAAATGAAAAGGGTCCTACGATTTCTCACCCCCTCTCATACCTCCTATACCTAATGTATATTAATCAAGGATTCTCTCGTATATTCTATGTAGCTTGTACATTGACTCCTCGAGGGATTTAGCTAATAGGAATTTGATTGTTTGGAAAAGATTTTCCTCGAGGAGATAAGAAAAAAAAAGGAAGAAAAAGAGAAGATAAAAAATTGTTCAAACATTTATATATTCGTCTCGTTAAACGACGATTAACGAAAAATGATAAAAATATAAATATAACGTAGAAATGACAGCTATGTTTCGAAATAATTTTTCTTTTGCACAGGATTTTTTATTGTTCTCAAATAAAACTTAACGCATGAAAAGTCAAATATATCTATGTATATAGATCGTATTAGTGACTCTGGAAAAGAAGATCATTTTAAAGTCATTTAAATCCTATGAATTATTTAATAGTACTAATAGGACCGCAGCTTCATAGATAGCGATGTGTACTGATCCGAAAATAATTTTTGGCGTACGTTCAGCACGTGCATATGTCGAGTGATCGTCCAGGGAAGTTGCGTGTGCCATATCGATATAAAAAAATTCTATAAGGGGATCCTGATTTTTTTGCTTTCTTCTTTTATATATATATATATATATATATATATATATATATATATATCCTTTCATTCTTCACTTTTGACTGTTCTTTTCAAAACCATTTTCGAGAGAATTCTTAAAACGATATAAAATTTTTTAAATATTGATCTTAAGACAAAGAGAACAAAAAAGATTTATATGCATTAAAAATTTTTATTTAATAAATAAGTAATTTATATAAAAATAAAAGTACCTTAGCCTTATACAGGATGTTCACATAAGCACACAATTTTGATATATTTATGTTCTTATATATCATCATATCCCTCAATTTGTTAGTGATTTAAAAAATAAAAGAGAAATCTAAAAAAAATAGAGAAACGATTTCAATGTTTAGAAAAATATTAATGTCAATGATAAAATATATCCTTCCCTTTGAAAAACGAGAATCACCCTACGTGCTTTTCACCACCGACGGGGGTTGCACTATTTGCAGTGGTTTCCCACAGGGTTGCTAACTTGTGGCTCAATTTTAGCGCGTGACAATGAATAAAATTTGTAGCATTAATGTCGCTTATCGGGCACGATTACATTTTTCTATGAACGACAATCGTTTATCAAAAAAAAATTTTTATATAAGTACCTGAATTCATTCGAGAGAAATATCGTGAAAAGTCATTTTCGAAGGGCGTGTATATAACGAGAGAGACAGAGAGAGAGAGAGAGAGAGAGAGAGAGAGAGAGAAAGAGAGAAATAAAATGCTGTCGTTAAACGAGACAATAAATTGTAGATCAAGATTAATGACACTAGTAATAGATTTGCATTTGCATATACAGAGTGAATCAATTATTTTCGATTTAAATAAAAAGAAGAGATACAAATGTTTTACATATATATATAGCTTTCTCATGTAACAGATAATAAAGTAAAAAATCGTAAATTATCATCATAAGAACGATAAATATGAGATCACCCTGTACATAGAAACACATAAGAAAGTATCTCTATCGTTTTCCAAGAATTCAACTCAAACGTACTCTCCCTCCTTTCTCTTCTTTCTCTCCTACCAAAAAAAAAAAGAAAAAAAAGAAAAAAAAGAAAAGAAAAGAAAAACAATGTATAAAATATATCGTATAGAATAGAATAGGATAAAAGATGATAATAAAAAAATCGTGATTAGGTATGAAGTGAAAATCCTTGGAACGTGACACGAAATCGCGTTGGTACATAGAAGGAAATTCTAGGAGGAAATGAGGGCGTGTCGATAGAAAAGAGGCGTGCCTCTGTTGGTTTGCGCAGTGTCCCATGAACATCAGTGTGCGTTCGAATAGAATCCCCATACTGGTGGTATGAATTGTACGAAGAGAAGGATGGAACATATAATATGTGTGTGTGTGAGAGAGAGAAAGAGAATAGATCCCGAGTAAGAGGGGTATAAGGGTGAAATCAATTTTCGTTATCGTCGTCAACCAGACACCCCATATTAATTCCGTTAGCGAGTGTTTGCCTTTCCATGTATGCCCCTCTCTTACAACCAACTGATAGAAGCCTTAAGTACTTCGAATGGAGATCTAAAAGATAATGACGATAATAATAATTATTATTTTACCAATAACAATAATATTAACAATAACGCTAGTTACAATAATAGTGGTAGTTATAGTCATAAATATATATCGTGATAATAATAATAATAGTGATAGTTATGGCGATAATAATAGTAAATAACAAATAAATTCGTACTTGAAACTTTTCCTCAATTCATTTATATTGAAAATTTTTTCTCTAATACACAAAGCTTCGAAAATTTCGCTTAATTTCTTAATAATATCATTCCGGCGCTCAATTCATGTCGATGGCGATAACGATAATAATGGCAAGAAAAGCAATCTAATGGTATTCGTATTTGTAAGCTTTTTTCTTCTTAATTTCTTATTTTGAAAAGTTCTAATTCACCAAACTTCAACAAACGGTAGCCATTTTACTTTGGTGTATTACGTCATCACAGCGCGAAATTCAAATCGAATTCTCGGAGAATATTTTTCTTCTCATGAAAATTGCTAGTCGAACCTTTGTAATAATTGTCTTATTTTCGATGATTAATTCGAATTATGACGTGAGAAGAAAGGAAAAATTTTAAATTAGAAAAACGATTGATAAATCATTGTAGATACTCATACGTTTGGAAAAAGATTATGATCAAAAGAGAAGAATTCTTATTTACGAAAGTGAATAAATAAATAACATACACAATTATAGACACTTTAAGATATTTTATTGATTTGATGTAAAATATAATTGTCAAAATTTTTATCAATGGAGAAATTAACAATTTATTATATCATTATAGATTCGTCTAACCTTATGCAATTATGAATCTAACTTTTGCTTTTGCAAATTTTTATTTACAAATGTAAGATCCAGTTGGCAGGTATGTGCAAAAAATATAATATATCAGGTCTTTAGATTTAGTTTTGTTTGGTAAAAAAACATTTGAACGTTATATATAAATTACAAATAAGATATAACTCAATCTCTCTAAACACTACTTTCAGTAAAAAAATTCACAAGAAAAATATAAAACTATGAGTAAGTTATATTAATAAGTTACTATATATATGTAAATATAAAAATTGTTTCTAACATAATTACCATTTATATTTTAAATCACACGAAATTCTATACAAGAGAAAATTCCAACACAAACGGAAGTTGGTCTTCACCTTGGTTTACCATTAGCAAAAACACTATTTGCTTATGATCATCAAGAAACCAAAAAATTGTTAGGATTAATACCACCACTAAAGCAAGTATCCAGAGATCTCTGGATTTCACCGTGTGCACAAATAAGCAAAAAAGTTTTAAGCTTACCAGAAAATAATAATATAATTAAAGAATGCACACATTTAGGAATACTTGGTAATAGCATTAAGTGTTACATATTATTAAAATGAACAATCTTTGTGTAAAATATATAATTAGCCTTAGGGCAAGATCTATTAAATAAATTCAAAGCAGAAATTAAAGCAAATATAAAGAAGGAATTTAAAAAACAGTTAATCGATCAAAAATATTTATGTGAAGCTGAAAAGCGCCAAGCAATTAAAATCAATACAGGAGAAATCCATATGATGTGGCAAAAATATATTAATACCATAGAGTGTGATATGCAGAAAGAATTACAGGTGAATAATTTAATTTTATATATGCATCAGTAAATAATATATCTAATAATATATGATAACTGTGTTGACAGATTGAACTTGCGAAAGTTATTATTAAATGTAATAGAGAGATACAGAAAGCAGTGGTACAACAACGTATAAATATGACACAACATATGTTAAGAAAAATACGTAATGAAATGTCTTATATGGTGGCAGATCTTTATGAAGAATTTGAGCAAACTCGCAGATCACATATAGAAAATATTATAGCAGATGTTAATGAGATTTTAAGGTACTTTCACGAATATTCTGCTACATATTTTATAATGATCCGGAGTTTCTTAATTTATTGTAACTAATTCAGGAAGGAACATATGAAAAACAATAGAAAAATAGAAAAATTGAAAAAGGAAAAAATGGAATCATTATATGTTCAAAAAGTAAAACTTGAGACAAAGAATATAGCTAATGTTATGTACATGCTTTGCCTTGAAAGATTACATTCTAATCTAGAAAAACAAAAAATACAAAATAATTTCCAGGTATTTCAAACTAATACATGTTTGATTTTCCAAAAAAAGAAAAAAAAATAGTACTATATATTTAAATATTTCTTTATTTTAGAACAAATTCAGTAATTTGCAAAACATTATTTTGGATTTAAAGAAAATGTTAAATACGGCCGAAGAAATTGTTGAAAGATATCAAAGCAATAATGAATTGTTAAAAGAGAAATTTGATAAGATTAACCAAGAATTTCATAAGTTTGTCACTTTTGTATTTAATACCGTACCAAACCAGGCTGAGTTTGTATTACCTTCAGAATCTATTTATTCGCAACAAATGAATCAGACTTTAAATGAAAAATTAGATACAAAAAAATATAATACAATATGTCAGAATCTACTGTTAGAAAAACATAATTGATTAAAAAGATGGTAATAAAATTAGTAGTACTTCTAATTAGTCAATTCTTAATAAGTCAACAAATCATTGAAATTTTTTGGATTATTTGTTTGACAATTACGATACCAATCTGGGTCTCGTTGTAGACAAGATGCAGTCCGTTGATAAAATTGAGCCTGTATAACAGATTTGGCACCAAATTTACTAATGGGAGGTAAATTATAATCACTAAGACGCCATCCATAAAGCCAATTTGTACAATCGGGAAAATAAAAACGATCTTCCGGCAATTTTTGTAATCTAAAAATATCAAACTTCTTTTTTAATTATTCCGTCAAATATTGGCCAAACGATAACACGCTCTTCAATTTATTTTTTAACCTTTTGCGAAAATAATTATCACTGCAAATAAAACTTTCAATTCCTTTTTCATAAAGAATGGCACGTATTTCTGGCTCAATTGGTTTCATTATATCAATATTTACAGAACCATCAATATTAAGTGGTCTCCATGTCGGCATGTATTTTTTACTTATCTGTAATATGGCAAAGTACAAATATAAGTTACAATTATATAAATATATATAATGTTTATATAAAAGATCAGTTGATACAAAACTTTGGGTTCGATCTTATCTTTTTTTGGTGATTCTTTTTCTATGCTTTTTATTTTAATTTGTGCTGTAGTCTTTGCAATACCTAAATTATCTATTAATTTCTGTTGATTCTTTAAAAACCATTTCATACGTAAGAATTCTTCTTTCTTGTAATTCTCTCTGTGAAATAACTGACACCGATTATCACACATATTGTTAAATATATCTATCGAAAGTTATTTACATATTAATTTTGTATATCCCTTATGTAAAAGTCTAATAATAAATGTAAATTATACTTATAAAAGCGTAATTTAAAATATGAATGTGTCAAACTAAACTAATACTACTAATACATATTCATAGTATTATGATGCTCTGATGTTTTTCATTCTTACACATAATTAGCATAAGGACTACTACAAGATAATTAACATAAGGAATAAGGAATAACAATAAAAAAATATTTATATAATACAAATGTATACTTTGTAGAATTATATATTTACACTGTTAGAGAATTGATATTTTGTTGTTGTATATTAATCAAATTGTGTACTTGTAAATTAACATTTTTTTTCTTTCATATTAATTATTAAAGCCAATGGCGGTATATACTTTATGTACAGTTTTAATTATAAAGAGTCAACTTCAGAAATGTCAAATTGAAAATCCTAAATTTAATCTATAAAATATTCACAAGCAATTTAATTGCTACTGATCAAAATTCGTACATACAGTTAATAGTTATAAGTCATAAAGATAAATGATACAAACAACGTATCAAAAGAGTTTACTCGATGTTATACTGGATTTGATTGATCTTGATAGATCTATAAAATATATTTTGAATATCACTAGAGTTACTTACATTATTCGCTCAAATATTTTATTTCATGTATATACACACATATACACGTATGTGCATGACATACGCATCACTCAAATAATTTTAGATACACGTACAAAATAAATTTTTAAAATCAAGTTTTCTTTTCATGTATGATATTCTGTAAAATAAAATCCTTAAGTAACACTTAAAGAAATACAAAAAAAAATGATATGATATAAAAGCTTGCTTTTAACTGACTTTGACTACTAATGAACAGAGGATGTATATATACCTTCTAACGGAGCCTCGTTACAAACCCAGTCACGTAAAGTATAAATTTTACTTTGAAATATAAACAATAAGAACTTGTTATTCTATAAATATGCATCAACAAAAAAATACTGCTATATTTTTTACTGCGCTCTATTTGTATCACGGCATTGCTAGATGGTATTTTCATTTCTCTCTACTTGACAATATTTTCTTGACAACATCAAATGACCTGGTCAATAACAATGCATAATAGTACTGTGCTCTATATTAATAGATACGTATGGCGTGAAATATGAGTTTCCACGTGATATTACTCCCTCTCAAAGTCAACATCAAATGACCCAGTAATCACAGCCATAGGAAGCAATATTGCGGTATATTTCAGGATTTATATGCATATACTGTTTGATTTATATTACAACTGACTAAGGAGCATTTCATATAATTTGTACTTGGATAATCAAGACGAAACATATATAATGCTATACAACTAACAATTCCGCTGCTCCTATACTGTCCTTTTATGCTGTACACACTTAATGTTATCTTATCTACACTCGCCTATAAAATAACCAATTTACAACGTTCCTACTTGGTCTATATTTTCATGTAGCAAAGCATTTTATTGACAATTTGAATGCAAGATCTTTTAATTGTGACCGTTAAATGTTCATTCTAATACAAATTTTACTACAATCAGCTTTGCTCTTTAAAAAATCTTTTTAATCACTGGTTAAAAATTAAGTATTATATTATCTTATAATATCTTTACCAAAAAAGAAAACCTTTCTTGTAACTCTAGACTTGTAATGTAAAGTTACATCGTCTTAACTTTACTTATCTATGCCAAATTTTGAACATTATACGCATCAATGTATTTTCATGATTTCCTTGCATGCATTCCATTCTTTTCTTCTTAAAATTGAAGTTTATATATATTACTGTTTCAATATAGGCTGCAACCTTACATATACATTATATGTATGCTTTAATTAACTATTCAAGTGGAGTATGTGCTTCTCGATAGTCTAACATTTATGCTAAAAATTAATAAATGGGATTTTTCTTTACTAAACACGCACTTTACTTCTAATTTCTTATTTCACGAAATTTAAGCTAAATGGTTCAATTTAACACAACAGCCAACACTTTTTCCCGAAACGAACACTACGATAAATTGAATCAATTCACTGTTGAATAAATTATAAATAACAAAACATAACAAATGAAATTAATGAGGTAAATTATATATTACAAAATATATAAATTATAATAATATTATAAGAGGAAAAATTTAACTTATTCGATGGATAAGAATATAAAATTCAGAATTGATACTCCATATGAACAGTAGAAGAATAATAGAAGAAATAAAACTCTTTTTTTAATCCTTTATACAAATAATATGGCAGCCACAAACATAATATTTATAAAGACATTTCATATATTTTATCGTTATAAAATGTAATATTATTAAGTTTTTATGCATTGTTCAAAGTAATTTAAAAGTGTAATGCCAAATCAAGTTTCCACTTTAGATAAAAAAATAATGTAACTTTTGAGGACAGTCATTTGTTATGATTTTTAATCTATTCAACTTAGAAATGAATAATAATTGCTATAATATAATAATGAATAATTTGTTTGTCTGTGTTAATACAAGTTAATAAAGATCGCTAATATCATTTATCTTTTAGCAGAGCCTGTCCACTTTGACTTAGTAATATTTTATATGTCAGTTTTCAGTCCTTATTGATAATAATAAACACATAATGCATTGATGACAAGTGATTTCATAATACACTATTTACTAATAATAAACTCTTGAAATATATAAAAATGGGCTCATCTAGCCTTATTTAAACAGTTTATCAATATAAACAGTTGTTTTTGCATTTGAAAACATACCTAACTTCTTGCTTTTATTAATACACCTGTATGAGCATTATTTTGAAAGTATAATCCTGTTCCTTGGAAAGTACTACTTCTGGAGGTAGGAAGTTGATTTTGATTTATACCACTTAAAGAATTTTCATCCATATCTTTGCTAAGTCCATCTTCTTGTTTGCTTCGTAATATATACTTAAAAAATTCGTATCTAAACAATAGGACAATTAACATAACAGTTTATTATCTTTAATATCAATTACGTGGAAATTAATAAATAATTTACTTACGACGTCCAACAGATAGCAGTGGCTGGCATTTGATAAAGAACACGCGCATTCATCCCACGATAAAATCCTCGTACACCTCCCAACCTATAAACTTTTTTAACAGCATCGATCATACCTCTTGCTTTTATACCATCCTGTTGTGTATTCAATAACGTTTTACAGACATCCAATGGTGTCGTCAATCCAGCTGCTATGGCTCCAGCCAAAGCACCTGTTGTCACATATAAAAATTAACATCATCTAAGATATATATAGAAATTATATAAATAATAAAATATATACCAGAAATCATATGTGCTTGCGGACTATAAGAATGATCTGGATTTGTCATAGATTGTACAAATTCGTAAGCAATAAAATGAATGCTTTGGAAAGGCACATTCATAGCAAGCTGAGTTGTGTAACTTCTGTAAAACGCATATACACCTTCTCGTTTATATATAAGTTTTATGCAGCTGATAACATTTCTATAAGGAGAATTATACATTTGCAACCGTTGTTTAATCACTGTAACAAGTATAATGATAATAATTAAGTATAATAGCTTGTGTTAGGTAAATTATGCCATTGTATGCAAAGTACATATACATCTAACCTTCTGCTGGATTCATAACACCATCATGAAGGATCGTTGACACACAGCCAGCTGCACCATAGACCAAATGATTAAATTGTGAGTGTGGCTTTGAGCTCATAAATTTATCTTTCAAAAATTCATAGCAAGAAAAATATAAAGCATGTGCTGGTCCAGCTCCGGCAACCATTGCTCCCATGCCTCGAAATGGCCTTAACAAACCCTCTTGACGCATCATTCGAAGGAGTACATTTCCTACTCCTCCTCCCCCACCTGGGCCTGGTATCAGTGACTGCATTCTTGTCTAGAAAAGATATTCATTTATTATAAATATATTTCCACAATAAGTTTTCAAATTATACATATTTTCATATAATAAGTATATTAATGTATTTAAAAAGTGACATTAAAAATTACAAATTAGAATTTCTTTACTTTAATAAAGATTTCAAGATAACACAAATAGGCACATAGATAATATCTAATATCTGCAGAGTTTCAAATAACATGACTGGCAAATATGTGTAAGTAATGGTTATCTATCAATCCTCAATTCAAAGAATAAAGTATTTCAAAAATTTTTATTTATATGTTAAATTTGATCGTTCTCTTTCACTATTTTTTTATTTAATTCCATTAATGATCAGTGTAATTTTTAAAAAGTAGAAAAATATAACAAAATGAAAACATAATGTATATTAAAGAAAGGTACTCATTATAACCTATTTGTTACAAGGAAAATTTGAATTAATTTAAATTTCACCTACATAACGTTCTTGTGTTTATTATATTAATAGCTTATTTCAATTATTCATACATTATAATGAATTGTTATTTTAAATATTTCATTCATTCATTCATAGAAACTTGATGGTAAAATAAACTTAAGTACAGATTTTAAGCTGAAAACCAGATCAAAAATAGAATGTACTGCAATAGACTGACAGACTGTATTACATAATGATCACTGAGTAGATACACTCAACAAGATTCTTATATATCTTAACATTATTATTTATCACTCAAGAATATCTTTATACCTAATTCTTTGTTTATTTTTTAGATGTATTTAAAGATGACTTAAATTGTTTAACATATATACATATATAAATTTCTTTAATTAAAATTTTGAAAAAAGTTGTTTTGAAATTGAAATGTATGGCAATTTTACTAACTTATATGATATTTGTGTTTATATGTTACTTGTTTACAAACAAAATGAGGAGAATAGATCGAACTTTTGAGAATAATTCAACATTAAAAGCAAGTAATAGATTACGTCAAGTATATAATTGTAAATTTAAATGTAAGATAAAGGTAAAAAAGAATTTCCTTTCTTTTTTACCTTACATAATATCATACACAATAGGTATTATAAAAGAGTAATTCAAGTCACAAAGCATACATTTTACTAATATCTTTCTTTATGACAATATATTTTTAGGATATACAAAGTTATAACGATAGAGTTTGAAACACTATCTACAAACATTTTATCATATTTAAATAATGATAACATTGAAACATTAAAATCACGTTCCAAGAAAACATGGAGGAAAATGTTAAAAAGAAACACATGTACAATCATGATCTTTACTACGATCATTTCCGATTGAAAGACAATTATAATGATGATAAATATTCGGGTATAATAAAAAGTTTTCTAAAAATTCTCGTCTTTATTAATCTTCCCACATGACAAGTATCGAAAGCCAAAATATAGGTGCATACATTGAGGTTATGTAAAAGATAGTCTCTGGGAGGGAAAAAACGTGGAGCAAATATACCACTACTTTACCTTGACACTGTCAACTGGATACATTATACAGTGTTCCATGATTCCAGCAAAAGCACCGGCCGTCATATTAACACCCACCGATGTAGTGGGCAAACTCTCGTAATCTTCAATATTCATATCCTTAAAATGCAAATATCAAGCCGCGATGGCTTTTTCTGACCTTTTCGGTCGTGCCGCGGTATTACCGCACTAACCACTGAACTAACTCTCTTTTTCTGTCTCTTTCCTTCTCTCTCTCTCTCTTCTCTCTACTCTCTCTCCTACTCTCTCTCTCCTACTCTCTCTCTCTCTCTCTCTTTCTCTCTCTCTCTCTCTCTCTCTCTCTCTCTCTCTCTCTCACATACAAATACACTATTCTTTCTTATCCGCTCTCGTTCTCGCTCGCTCTATGAGTTACGACGAGGAATGAATAACTGAGTTTTCCATAGTAACACTGTGTGTAACACACCAAGAGACTATTTAAACCTTGGAAATCGTGAACACTTTTCGCGCGTTATTTCGTATCCTTTTTATCGTTGACTTTATCATTATCGTTTCCGTAAAAAAAAAAAAAAAACTAACAAGTCGTATAAAATCGTCGGTACATTAAATAATCAACTCGTGCATTCGCATTCGTTGATCGTATCTTAATAGGGCCGAATCGGAATCGAAAAGGCTGCTACCCCTGAACGCTCAAATTTATGACGTTACCATCCCCTCTCTATGGATCGAAGTCGCATGGTAACGTAAGCTCCTAATAAATCTTAAAAACCGTTTGATAAGAAAAAAAACACTAATTATTCTAATAAAAAATTTTCACGAAATTCTGATAGATCTAACGCTACTTTACCTACTTCAATATGCTTAACACTATCATGAATGATCGTTGATCATTAAGTTAGTGAGGTTAGGTCGCGAGCACGTGTCGCGCATGCGTCGTATTCGACCACGTGGTCGCAACACGTGAGCTACCAGCGGTAGGAAGAGAGAGGGAAAGAAAAAGGAGAGAGGGAGAGAGAGTAATAAAATCGAGACGGACTATTCCTTTCTCTCTTTCTTTCGCAGCTACGTATATATATATATATATATATATATATATATATATATACACACACACGCAGCAGAACACGCAATTAATTAAAAAAGGGCATATGTTCCATTATATATCTCCTTTTTCCTACTCCTTCAAAGAAAGAATAGAGGACGCTTTCCGTGTTCATATATTTACGGTCAATAACTGCATTAAATTCTTTTCTAATTCTGTCACTTTTTCTAAACTACTGTTATATATATACATATTTCATCTCTATTGGAATCCTCCTTGTTCCTTTATGTATGTATATCATACGTATATATATGTATTACTCTTTTTCGTAATCAATCGTAACTACCGGTAATCAAAGACGCTTATTATTCAATCTATCATGACTCACTCATATCAGATAAACGAATGGCGTAATAGAGAATATGTTTTATTTAGAAAAAACTATGTTGTCATCGTACATTTGTACGAAATATTGAAAGTAGTTTCCATTTTTGCTAGTCACTATTACTGTATCTTTTCTTTCTTTTGCGCAACATGTTGCGATGAAAAATTCAATTTATTGAAATCTTGAAATTATTTTCTTTTTTTTTATAATATAAAAGATGCGGAATTAAAGTTCATTACACCCTCGATCTTATATTCTCTTAAAATATTCGCTACTATTGTCGATGATCTATAAAATCAAACATTACATAATATTTTTGAGTCTTCGAAACCGCATTGTAAATATCGAAATGTGGCGCACCTTGATAAATTGTTTCACGTTACAATCGACTGATAAGATTACGTTGAAAATTTTATTTCATATTTCTATACGCTGTTGGATATGTCGTTGGATACGATTTATTTTACGTCGAAATATTTATAATATAAGCACGAGGACACAATGTATGCGTGCCTAAAGAGATAAAATACGAGTGTTATCTCACTCTCTCTCTCTCTCTCTCTCTCTCTCTCTCTCTCTCTCTCTCTCTCTCTCTCTCTCTCTCTCTCTCTCTCTCTCTCTCTCTCTCTCTCTCTCTCTCTCTCTCTCTTTCTTCCTCTATTTATAGTTGCTGAGATTGTTCTGTGTTTATGTATATACAATATATCATACGTTTGCTTCCATACACATAACTCCTATATCCTAAAGATCATTTTAAATTATTTCTACGCTACGAATATAAATAATAATTTTTGATAATTATTACTAATTATAACATAATATCAAGCATAAATATCGGTTTAGTAAATGTGATACGTACACATTTATTTTTATTCATGCATTACGTATGGATTTATGAAAGGTTAGGTGAGACTGTCGATCGAAATAATATCATTTTTAAATTAACATAAATCGAAATAAACCATCTGTAGAAAACAAGGAAAATAACGATTGCCAATATCAGCCTTCCATGCTTTTTATTTAACTTCATCTCATTTTTACGCGAACGCGGTACGATTCCTTATTTACATAGAATATTATAAAAAGAAATGGTAATGACAATTAAAAAAAGATTTTTTCGTTGTATTCTGCTTCATTCATTTCTGAAACTATTTAATACGTTTATCGCAAGATATATATTATATGTACATATTTAAAATTTTCTTTATAATAGCACTAACTTAAAATATATTATACAAAATAATGTTAACAACACTGTAAAGTACATTGAAGGAATGAAAAGATAGATCGTTTGATTGTGTATATAAAACTCGCTTTATTTTCAGAGCGATTATTGTAAATATGATATTATAAATTTTGGAAGTGACTGTTTTATAAATTGGAATAAATACCTGAAAAATTTGAAAAAGATATTCTACAATATAACTATTGTAATCAAATTTAACATATTCAGATTATATATATACATATATATATACATATATATATACATATATATATACATATATATATACATATATATATACATATATATATACATATATATATACATATATATATACATATATATATACATATATATACATATATATATACATATATATATACATATATATATACATATATATACATATATATATACATATATATACATATATATATACATATATATACATATATATATACATATATTTATACATATATATACATATATATATACATATATTTATACATATATATATATACATATATTTATACATATATATACATATATATATACATATATATACATATATATACATATATATACATATATATACATATATATACATATATATATATACACATATATATATATATCATAACATATATATATACACACATAGTATTTGTACAATGTATGAATATACAGAATTAATAATACAGTTATCGTGGAAAAAGTACACAACTCTGCAAAATATGGCATTTAAACATCATGTGGTTCACTGTTACTAATGTTTCAACTTACTATCAATTTATCACAGTGAATCTTAAAAATCATATATTATATATTTTAATAACTTGATAAAAAAGGTATCGCTTCGCATCTAATATTATTTTGCTCTCTGACAACTTATATTATTACTACATTTTGTTGTACAATTAGTAAAATAACATTGCTTAGTTTTATTAGGATTAAATGTAATAATAAGTAAAATACATTGTACTCTTATTCATCTATAGTATTATATATAATTCACTCGTTTTAAATATATAAAAGAAACAACTGTCTTTATATTGTAAAAAAAATAATACATGATAAATTTTTCTTTAGTTATCTCTTTCAAAGCATATGGTAGTTTATCAATCGATTTTTTCTTATATTGCTTTAAATAAAATTACTTTATACAAATGTATACATAATGCAATAAGCATATAAATTTGTCATATAAATTTTGAGCATTTTCTTTCAGATATGCAAATATTGAAAAATATACATTTCTGTTTCTACATAGCTCAAGTTAATTAATGGTTATTATTCGTGCAATTGTGTTATTCAACCTCTTTATATCAAATTATTAAATAAATCTATATTAAAAGCAATTATACTTATTGTACAATAAATACATAGTTCTAAGGAACAACAGTCTAAAGTATATCTACGGCTTCAGTGTTTGTTTTCATTAAAAATTATCTGATATAGATTATAATTAACAATAATTATACATAATAACATAATTTAA